ATGTAAAAACGACAGGCAGAAATAAATAGCATTGAAGAAATAAATAGGGTAAAAAAAATACAAAGGAAGAATAAAACAAACAAAAATATTAAATCATGCACATAAATACTTAAAAAAATAAGCAATAAATAAATTAAATTGAAGATTAGAAGGGACAATAAATAAATAGGTCATTATTACAAAGGTGAATAAATAAAGAAGCAAATTAAAAGAGATTCATACATTTATGTCTCACTGTCTACCTACATTTAATAGTTTATTGTATTTTTGTGGGCAATTAATTGTATGTTTATTTATTTATTGAGCATTTATTTATTTCTGTATTTATTTTTAAATATGGCAGAGTTGGTCCTCTGAAGAAAAAAAAACATGCACTTAGACAATGAGACAGCAGGGGGCGCAGTTAAACCGCTCTTTGGAAACCTCGCGATGTTTTGAGGCAAAGCAGCGCTGATAGCAGGACTCTGGTCCAGTAGACAGTGAAGGGTTGTCAGACTTGCTCAAGCTGTCTGTTCATGCTGGACCCACTCACTTATTCTACAGTTTTTAATCAACGTTGAGTTATGAAAGTCTGCCTTTTCAAATTATAACCCGGAAGACGGAAGTTACTGGCAAACATCAGGGAATCCAGGGATTGAAAGAGAAGGATTTAGCAGAAAGCAACCCCGGTGGGTCTGGCTCTCTGTGTCAGTGCGCGTGGGAATGGCAGCTCCCCGACCGATTAAAGGCATCCTTAAAAACAAAAACAGCGGCAGGAATTTTAGATCCCTGCCCGAGGAAGCGCCGGGGGAGAACACCGAACATGGCCCGGGACTCTCGGAGGATGAGCACCAGTAAGTTTCCCAGTCAGAGGGTGGCGCCCTGCTAGCTAAACTCCTGTTAGCCTCTGACTTGTTTGGCGGTTAACCTGCGCTCTCTAAGTTTTTATGAGTCTTTCTTTAGTGTCTCAAACCTCACCTCCCCCACTGATATAATATTTGTTTATTTTTGCGTTTAAACTTTCCCCAGAAAAGCGGTTCTCTGGTTAGCTAAGTCGTTAGCTGACAGGAAGTGAGTAAAATGATTATTATCATTAATTAATGATTAGCAAAACATGTACTGTAGGGCATAGTGAGTTCAACAAGTAAAATATAGTGAACTATATCACCTTGCGAATGTATTTATATGCTTTTAGCACATTTTTTCATCTGGTTATATTACAGCCGAAGATGTTCAGCAAACTTATCTTTGTAAAAAGACAAAATATATGCAAAGAGGATGGGAAATAATGCATCTTTAAAACTAATGGCACTGAATGAAATCCGCAAACATCACCTAGAGGTTAGATCTGTAAAGGTTTGTTAAACTACAGCAGTGAAAAAATAGCCTCATGAAGACAAAGGGACACTCCTGGGAGGTCAGAGGTTACCTGACTAAACCTGCAGGCCCCAAAGAAAACATTTAAGAAGTACTAAAATTGGAAAATATCCATCAGATCACTTTCTTATTAGATTTTAAACAACTCTATTTACTGATCAGCAGGACAAATTCAGAAAAACATTTTAATGTTAGTAAGCTAGATGAATAAGAACTAAATTAGTCCCACTATTTTTATTTTGTAAACTTACAATTGATGATCCAAATTTTCACCTTTACAGAAACCCCTGATATAGATGAGCAGATATGCATTGTTTGTTAAATGTTGGGGATATTGTAATATCTTATTTTTTTTATATTATCACAATTAATTAACCTAAACCCTTTTTTTTATTCACTTTTGTAACACAAATAATATTTTGTCAGAGCCAAAATTAGCAGGTGACACTTGAAAGGAACTAGATTTGTTTGTTTTTGTAAGGAATTTAGTTAAAAAAAAACAATTACAACACCTGATAAAAGATAAATCTGCTCTTTAATATGATGACATGAGCATAAAAGTACAATTTATCTGCTTATGCAGTCACATAAAGTATCAATAAAGCATACTTAGTCAAAATGAATTCAAATAACCATATTTGTTTGAAATACATAAAGTTGATTGTTTGAATTGCATAAAGGTAACTGGATTATTATGCAACTCAAGCGAGTAACCTTAATCCTTTATAGGGCAAGTTACCAGCCATTCAGCAGAGATACTACTACATGGCTGTACATCTTATTTTGGAATTTGACCAATTAGATGAGCCCTTGAATGATACATTAACTACTGTAAATTAAGATGGAAAAAAAAAGTTAACAAGGGAAAAAAAGGTAAAGTAAGAAAGTTAATAATCCTAGTTAACAATTACATTTAGGCTTATAAACTTAAAAAAGTGTGAGTGCCAGTATCAACATAAATGCCTCTAAGGTTATTTTGGACCAAAAAAATGTCTTTCTTTCACCCTCAGTGTTTTTCTTTTCATGAATTTCTTATAGAAGCACTCTTTTAAATATATATATATATATATATATTCGCAGAAGTTGACGTTTCATTTCATTACATTGAGATTATTTTTTTTCCATCAAAATATCCATATTTTTTTAATCTTCCGAAGGTAATATGATTAAGTCCTAGATTCCAATAACACTATTGGCTCGAAATCTTGATTTTCAAAGTATTTCATTGAGTGCCCTGGAAAGGTTTAAGTATTTGAAAGGAATACACTTATTAGTATTAATTCAGAATAATTTAACTGTAATGATTCTACATGCATAAACCTGATGCTTATGTATTTCAAATAATTAGGCTTTATTATACAAATTAACACGGACCCTGTAAGGTTTAGGTAATAAGGCAGATCAGGGTCTTCAACATTTCCTTTAACTTTGCATTTTAGGCTCC